TGATCTTGTTACACGCGGGAAATTTAAAGTACTGTTGCCAGGAGACGAACAACAAAAGATGCGAAAGCCAACGGTCAAAATATATAGAATGATGAATATAATTCAAATTCGACACAGCATATACACTGGTAAACTTGGTATAAGTGTTGTATCCAATAAAAGATAAGTTTCCTCTCAGTGATGAAAATTCGGTAGCAATTTAAAGCGTAATATTCCAAATAGTTTACTGATTTATAGACACTGTCTGCAGTCTATATACACAGACGTAGCAATCACAAATCCACCATAAATGCGTGATAGGATGAGTATATATACACAAAATATGAATCCAATGAACGTTGATAGGTTTATATATGATTTTATTAACCTATTAGCTGCCAATGCACACTACTTTAGTATTAAACTCTGGCTAACCGTCTAACGCCATACCAATTTACACTGTGTAATGCCAGACGATTTTACTTGTATGTATGTATGTATGTATGTATGTATGTATGTATGTATGTATGTATGTATGTATGTATGTATGTATGTATGTATGTATGTATGTATGTATGTATGTATGTATGTATGTATGTATGTATGTATGTATGTATGTATGTATGTATGTATGTATGTATGTATGTGTGTATGTATGTATGTATGTATGTATCTATATATATATATATATATATATGTATATATATATATATATATATATATATATATATATATATATATATATATATATATATATATATATATATAATTTCGCTTACCTCAAAATTCCGCAACAGTCTGTTTCATCAGTAAAGAATCATGATGATTCTTTACTGATGATTCTTTACTGATGAAACAGACTGTTGCGGAATTTTGAGGTAAGCGAAATTCTAAATTTGCTCCATCTTTATGATATTGAGCACTCTTTGCGTTTCGTATTCATAAACCTACTCGTATATATATATATATATATATATATATATATATATATATATATATATATATATATATATATATATATATATTTATATATATTTATATATATTTATATATTGAGCGTAGTAACCAACAAAAAACCTGTGAAGTGGAAACGCACTCGAACAATGGCCCTCACATCTTAAACAATTGGTTGGCATAGAACATATTTAATATACCGAAGGAAAGAAAGCAACGTACTGATCAATGATCACTCTCTATTCATGGTGTATCAGAAAAAAGTACACAGTTGGAAAAAGTTCACTAAAGTCAGATTCGCGCGAATTTGCGAAAAGCTTCAGTTAGCCTGTATATACTTTGACGTTCTCTGGTACATCCTAGCACTAAAATTCTTTAAAATGCTAACGTTTTTAGGGTAGGAAAGTTGTTACTAAAAAGCCCACAAAAAAAGATGTTGCGCAAAAAATTTTTTATCGGAAACAAAATTGAATCACACAGAGTTAAAATATGGACTGTTTTGCACAAGCTATCAATGTTAAAACAAATTGGTGCACGCTTATATATATAGGCCTACATGCACGAGATCTTCAAAACCGGGATATTATTCTCCCATTTTGTTAGTTCAAACGCGATTTCTTTGCATGATTTCAAATTAGTTTTATGCATGCTTGGACGTTTGCATAAATTACAATACGAAATTCACAAGCGAATTCCCAAAGGTCCTACAGTTAATAACAGCGTTTATTTACAAAATGATTGACATGCAGTGTTTATTTGCAAACAAAATCAATCTTCAACGCGCCCTCCTCCTATGTTGAAGATTGATTTTCTTTCTAAATAAACACTGCATGTAAGTAATTTTGTGAAAGAACCTTTCGGAATTGGCTTGCGAATTAAAAAATAATTTGAATCATGCAAAGAAATCGCGTTTGAACTAACTCAAAATGGGAGAAAATCTAGGTTTTGAAGATCTCGGGTTTGTCTTTGCACCAAATTTCTTGATACAGCTTGTGCAAGACAGTCCATATTTTGACTCTGTGGGATTACATTTTGTTTCCGATAAAAAATTACTTTGTGCAAGGCCTTTGTTTGGGATTCAGTTGAGTAACAGCTTTCCTATTCTAGCATTTTAGATAGTTTTAATGCTAAATGTATCCAGAGAACATCAAAGTACATAGGCTTACAGAAGATTTTCGCAAATGTCGAGCCAATCTGACTGTAGTGAACTCCCCCCGCCCCCCCACACCCATCTATAATTAAAGAACGGTCCGTAAGCAATCTGGCAATATGTTGTTTGGCTGCATGGCTATATCATGTGAAATCTGCTGCAATCAACAATCTTCATCAATATTTGCTCCCCGAATTTCACAAACGTTATGGAGCACAAAACAGGCATAAACAATTTCTTGTACAACTGTCATTCCGATGTGAATTCTTTTGTTTATTATTTGCCATCTGGCTTTAGACAACCAAATGCACACTCAACAGCTAGGATTTATCGCACTACAAAGCATGTTATTAAATATGACTTCCTCATTCGTTGTGCACTAGGAAATTGCTTCATGCAGTATGGTTGCAAAGGATAGGCAGGCCCTAGAAGTATGGCAGGGATTTTGTCTTAACCGATCAAAGTTTTCCGGTACACCATTGGTAGCTACAATATTTGTTCCTCATAGTTATAAAGTAGTCTGTTGATCTATGAGTTGGCAAATGCCGCAAAGGGCATATTTCAACACCATAGACATGCTTATACCCAGCCCTTGTTTTGGCTCCTCTAGTTAACTATGTTGTCCCCGCAGGGAAGCTCTCTTCTGTGTAAAATATAAGCAAAAAAGGGAAGAATATAACAAAGTTAAGAAAAGTATAATAGTATTCCCATGACCAAATGTTTGTCTAACGGATGAAATATGTAAAAAATTGTATCCCAAAATGCCGAAAATCAAGCCCCAGACGTTAAAAATACAAACTTTTTCTGGGCCAGACAAGTCCCACTTTTCCCGTTCACCACCTCATAGTTGGGTTCCTTTCTCTTGATGGCCCCTCCACTGACAAATTCTTAAAAGAGGCCCTGAATACACGACCATCATGGAAACTGCCTGACCACCGAGGATCAACATTCAAAAATATACCTCTCCTGTTTCGTGCTGCTTGGACATTGATTGCGTATTCCAAAATAGTGTGCGGGTTTTCTTGAGGCTGTGCAATGGGGATGTGTGGACCATCCACACAAACAAATGCTAGCAGAAAACCGTATTTATTTTACACGTGCTTAATTAATTGACTCATTTCTTGCTCTGATGAAGGAAGTTGAATATATTTCGGGACCAAATGTTTTGTCAGTTTGTACGACTTGGTGGGAGCTAAAATCGCTGGCAAATTAGCATAGTCGAACTACCTGCCGATGGGAAAAAGTCAAGCGTTTGACCCAAAACATATGTGACTCAATCTATTTTAGGGCGGCTTAGCCCCAACCTCGTTCCCAGGGCTTAGCCTGCCTGTGGAAACTGTTATGGGTGCTGGAGCCGCAGCAGTTTATATTCACTTAATAACGATCAACAATCTTCATATCACTGTGTTACTTTGACTGGGAGCTTAGCCCCTAAATTTACTGGAGGCATGCATAGAGTCTATTTGAAAAATTTTATTTTCAAATTTATATAATATAAAAATTTTAGAGATATATAGTATAGAAATGTACTTGTCTTTCCCACAGGCGAGGCCATCAATATTTGCCCAACAAGGGAGATTACAGCATCCAGTGGACAGATTAGGTCGCCTAACTATCCCAGCAACTACTCCTCAAACACTAGTTGTATCCTGACAATCAAACAACCCTTGGACACAAACTTTACTTTCACTTTCACCAAGCTTGATATTGAGAGTGATGAAGACGGTAGGTCAACGTAATTTATGTTGATTTTAGAGTAATTTATGTTGTAATTTTTCATATCTGCGCAGCTAAATGGGAAACTCCCCCACCCCCGACTGAGATTTGCATGTAATTGTTAATGCTGATAAAAATCATTAGACATTGCCCAGGGACAAATTGGTTAATTTTGATTACATTTGGATGAAGATTAGACGAGAAATTAGCAAATGTTTGTCTTGCTTTGCCAGGCGTAGTAAACTACATGCATTATTAATTAGACCATTGTATAATTTATGCATGGTACATAACCTGGCGGAGGTATGCAGTCTCAGAGCGCCCTCTAGTTTACATATTATTAATTTGTGATGTTACTCTGAGTGTATATTTACATACTCTGAGTGTATATCCAATACAAGCCCAATGCTCTGCCAACTGAGCTACGCGGTCAGGACGGTTCGAGTAAGTGATATTTCGGAACAGAATCTATAGTTCCTTCGATACCAGTGTAATCTAGTAATATGATTTTTTGTGGTCATATTACTAGATTACACTGGTATCGAAAGAACTAGATGCTGTTCCGAAATATCACTTACTCGAACCGTTCTGACCGCGTAGCTCAGTTGGCAGAGCACTAGGCTAGTATTCCAAAGGTCGTAGGTTCGATTCCCACCGTGGCCGGGCATATTTTTCAAGCTCGCCCGGTGTGGATATACACTCAGAGTAACATCACAAACATCATATTCACCTGAGTACACAACACCAGCACAGAAAAAATTATATTATTAATTATTTAATATGTACAATATCTACTTACTTACTTTACAGAACTTACCTGTTATGATTACCTCATTATATCTGGAGGTTCATCAGAAACATTTTGTGGGACCACCACTCCGGCGCCATTTGTACCTGGCCTGAACGTCGTCACACTGGAAATGGTAACAGATGGTAGTATTGAACAAAGCGGTTTTGATCTCAGCTTCACCACCATTCAGAGTAAGCAATATTTTTGGTGTGGTTAGGGGCAGCAGAGGGAAATAAGGCGGCAGTTGTAAAAAAATTGAAAAGCTATAAAACTACGGATATCGAACACAATTAATGAAAAGAAAATTTAATTTATAAATACCATCATCTGGGTTATACCAAGAAACGGACAATTTTAGAAAACTTAAAAAAATGACAATCCTGTGGATAGCGCCCTGTCCTAGCTCCCTTCGTACAATTTATTGGTATGGAAAAATACATCTATATATATCTAATAGTAATACCTATCACAAAATAGTATGCCAAAAATAGATTCCCTTTCTTGATTACATCTTGTATATATGGAATATTCCTATCTTTATTTTTCTAGCAACTGGTTTACCCCCAGCAGTGAGTGTGTGTCCGACCAGATCAATCAACCCCAGTGATATTGGTCGTGTCCATTCCCCTGGATTCGCTGGTAACTATGGCGCCAATCTAAACTGTAAGCTTACCCTGGATGTGCCTTCAAACAAGGAAGTTGAAATTTCCTACAACTTTTACGATATTGAGTGTAAGTACACAACCGTAATAATATATAACAATGACAATGCACTCTAAAAACTCTTTGGTTAAAATTTCCTGGTTAACCAAAAAATAATCCAATTTAAGTTAACTTAATATTCTTGGCTAAATTTCCTAGTTATTTTAACCTTGTTTTTCCTATAACCTGGTTAATTTGACATAGAATTTATACGGCATGGTTAAATTAACTAGACCATGCCAAGCGGTTAAGTGGCTCTGGTAGCTCTGATGATATATATCCGCTTGAGATAGTCTGGTTATTTTAACATTAGCGTTGCATAAGCAGATTCCTGGTTACATTAATCGGATTATGATAAGATGTGAGATAAAATTATCAGGAAATTTAGCCAAGTCTATTAAGCTAAGCCAAGAGTTTTTCTAGAGAGTAACAAGTATAAAAACAAATTCCCAATAGAGGTGTCAAACATATTCATTTTATATTATTTGATCATGAGGTTACAGCAGACAATGGCGGATATTCATCAAGTAGTTAGTAACACCGTTCTTGTTGCTGTTGATATTGATGTGGATAGTGTTGTTGTTTCTGATGTTGCTGTTGCGGTTGTTGTGGCAATTGTGCCTGCTGTTACTGTTGTGTTGCTGTTTTAGTGGATATTGTTGGTACTATTGGTAAAACTGCTGCTTTGTTTGGCATTTTGTTGTTCAATTGCAAGCTTTTTCAATTGTTGATGCCGTTTTTGTTGTTCTGGTTGTTTTTGTTGACGCTGCCACCATGTTGGTTGCTGTCGTTGTTGCTCAAGCTAACGGTATTTTTTAAAAATATTTGGTTCACAGATGAAGCTATCCAGTGCTCGAAAGACAAGTTGACGGTTGCGGACAACAGTGGTCATGGCTACACAATATGTGGTCATGCACCATCTGCCGGCAGCCCGGATACCTACAATGATAGTGATGTCTCATTTCATTTTACAACTGACGGCAGTGGCTCTGGAAACGGATTTATATTGACCTACAAACTCATTGACAAACCAATCTCGAGTAAGTACGATCAGTGACATAATAAGCAATTAATTGTTGCAAAAACCTTTTTTTCTTCTTCCAGTGATCTATAGTCGGGCTTTCATTGATACCAGTGTTTCTATACTGAAGGATTATCGCCCTGTTTAAAGATAAAATTATTATTTATTCAAAAGCTTCGTGGTTTCTGATTGCCTAATAGCCAACTCTTGAGACCGACCCTTGAGTATGCTTGCCCGGTGTGGCACACGTCACTTCCAAAATACCTAGGAGATATCATCGAAAGTGTCCAAAAAAGAGCTCTTGCAATCATTTTCCCTGAAATAAGCTACGCTGAGTCACTAACCAAAAATGGCCTTAATTCTATCTCGACAAGAAGAGATAATCTGTGTAAAAAGTTTTTTAGGGAATTAACTATTAATAACGATAAACTTTCTGAACTCTTACCGAAGAGAGAACCGATAACTTACAACTGGGGTAGCAAATCTTCGAGTTAAGCCCCTCGAGTTAAGCCCTTCGAGTTAAGCCCCGACCACGCCCTTTCGAGTTAAGCGCCGACAACGCCCATACCTCGCCCATGCCACACCCATTTCCGCTGAGGGCTTAACTCGAAGTACATAACTGGTGTTAGGTACTTCGAGTTAAGCCCTCTAGAAAATAGGGGCTTAACTCGAGCAAAGTCAAACATTTTGTTCTTCGA